ATCACTCAGTATAACAGGCCTACTCTCTTTATTTGCTGTAGTTTAGTAGATATCTACAAACAAAGAGTCCATATTTTTCTAAAACCATTTAGTGCTTCACATAATAAATACACAACGGCTGTTAGGCTGTTAGGTGCGTGTCTGTGGTACAGTGTGTGTGTAGATGCAGCGGACAGACAGGTCTCTGTTGGTTTGGTGTCCTCTGCTTACTTTTAATACTTGTAAATACAACTTTTGGCCCTTAATTTATTTTATATATATATGTGTGTGTGTGTGTGTGTATGTGTGTGAGTCCGCATCTGTAGCCTGTTATTGTCTCATTATACCGCACTGTGAATGAATCAAAGTAAATATATAAGTCGTCATGAACACATCTGTCCATCAGACAGAGGGCTGCTGTGCCTCCTGTCATCATTAATGGACGTCTCTTTAAAATGACCGCTCAGAGGAGAGGAGTTCTTATTTCTCTAACCGCCTGCTGCTTCCCCTCCTCTCTCCTCGGTTCCCCTCCTCGGCTCGCATCTCCTGTGGGCGGGACTAAGTCTCGAGGATAGGAGTCGAGGAGGGGAGTCGAAGAGGGGAGTTAGAGAAATGAGAAAGGGCCAAGGAGTCGAGAAGGGGAATTAGAGAAATGAGAAACCTTCACTGTGTTTCTCCTTGCACTGTGCAACTTGACACAAAGCTTCCCAAATAAAAGTGGACTGGTCAGAGGAAGTGAAATAAAATATAATAGCAACTCAAAAGACATTATTGAAGAAACGTGGACTTGTTGAAACTTTCAGAGCCATTGAAAAGTACATTTGTTATAAATGTTGTCATAAAATCCGAAGAATACAAGGCTAACAAGCAAAACAACATTACAACAACATATTTCCATATTTATTTATTTTTTCTTATTTATTCCGTATTGATTTCCACATTTATTTATTTCATTTTGTTTCAAAATGTAGTTATTCTTTTTTTGTTTTACACTCCATGTTCTGCTTCTGCTATACCTGTGCTCGCTGTGTGTGTAAGAATTCACTCAAAAATCCACATCACAGCGAGAACTATAGTTGTGTTCATTGTTTTAAAAACACATTGGTGGTCCCGAGGTCTATGCATATTGGTTTTTTCATGCAGGTGCTTGAGGTTCACACCCAGGGGACGGACTATTGTGTCTTCTGCTAATCTGGATGTTCCCACCGACTTTAAAAGTGACAACCCTGCATGAGTCTCTGCACATACCTACAGTGTTATGGCAAGTCATGTAGACATGAAAGATAATTCACAGTTAAAAAAAATAAAAATAGGTGCAAGAAGAAACCTGAGTAGAAATAAAATAGTCCAGGATTATGTTGCAGTGATCTACATGTCAAAATAAAATACAAAAAAGCTAAATGTTGCAGAGAAGTTTGGCAAGTGACCAAGTAAAATCCAGGACTCTATATACATGTAAACTATAATAAGATATAAAATATACTACAACAGAATAAATACTGCTACAGTGAAAATCGTTGGCTTTGAGTCTCTGCAGGTAGTGGTTCATGTAATTCAAATTAATTTTGAAGTAAATAACTGAATGAGAGCTGTTTTTTACTGTTGAATTGTTCCTGGCTACATTGTTAAAACCTTCATCTTAAAAAAAAAAAAAATCTTCCATCACCAGAAGAAGAAAAGGCGTTTTGATGCTGCTCAAAATGGTCATGATAAATGTGCATGCCTGCAAATGGAGGTGATTTAAATATCTTATAAAATGTTCAGTTAGTTTGCAAATAAACTTTTCTTGTGTCTTCGTTTTTATGTTTATTCTTTGTCTATTAGCCACTTACATATCACACAAACAGTACAGCTATAGACTAAGATCTCAACTACATTACATCTCTGTCCGTCCCCTCAGTACGCACGGTGCTTGGGAAAAAAGCCATATCATACTCTGCCCCCCCTCGACCTGGAACACACTTCAGCAGGAACTTAAGCTGACCACTTTGATACCCATCACGGATTTTAAACTCATTTTTAAAAGCTGGAAAATCATCTGTGGGTGTTTGCACCTGCTATATCTGACAGCTGTATATGGATTTTAATGACTACTTTTTTACGATGTTGTATTTTAGTGTTGCCTCTGTGTTTAGTGTCCTGTCTGTCTGTAACTTTGTGTGGTAGTGTTACCACTGACAGGTCTCTCTTGAAAATGAGACCTTGTGTCTCAATGAGATCTACACCTGTATAAATAAAGGCTAAATAAAAAAATTAGCCCTTTTTGTAAAACAATATATCTATGTTCAACATTATAAAAGTTAAGTCATTTATTGTGTGATTAGTTTGTTCCAATTATTTTCAAATATCCGTAACATATACTTTCTCCAACATTTTTTGATCTTATTACATTCCAAAAACACAATGGAAAATGGGCAATATTTACAACACGTATGGGATATAACTTTGTCAGCTAAACGTTGTGGGCGTTAAATTAGACCAATTTTAAGACCACTAAAGATGTACTTAGACATAGCAAAAATAATATTCTAGTATGAGCGCAAAAACCAGCAGGTGGGCACCTTTCCCATAAATCGCTGTAATGCTCGCAGGAAGTACTAAAGTTATGCCGTGAACTACAACTCCCATGTAGACGTGCAGTCGCCGGCCGGATGTTCGTGTTGCACAAATTTGGCGCTGATCTAATCCGGGTACTTTATTCTCTGCTTCCTTTCGCGCCGGGTAACCGGAGAGCCGTGCGTCCATGTGCGCAGTGACGGGGAATTGTTAGACGTCTGAAATATTAAAATCCGAGCCGCCCTAACAGAGTTTTTCGTAATGGATCCCTGAGTCTTTTGGTTGAGGCCCTTCGGGGTACGATGGACCCCAATCTGCCGGGAGGGCCGCGGAAATACAGCTGAACGAGGGTAAAAGTTGAGATAAGCCGTTAATGGTGATGGAGGTTTGGTGGCGCGGTCCCTCAGATCGGGCCTCTTCACAACATCAAGATGGTGCGAGCACGCAGGCTCTGCTACCGTTAACCTTCCCAGAGCTAAATCACCTGCTTAACAACTTTCAGCATTACGGACTCACTCTTATCATTAGCGTCATGCCATTGAATTTAACTGTATTTCGTTTGCCATTAAACGGACATAGCTTACACCATGAGCCAGCCTGTGTGGCTAATGCTAAACAAGCCTAGCCTCGCTGGGGACATCATGATTAGCTCACCACACAGTTTCGGCACACAGTTTTACCAATTTTGAAAGCTGACACGACACAAGAATAATATGACAGGGGCGTTAAGCAACACATGAAGTTAAGTGTTATGTGGGACAGGTGCTAGTTATCTTATTTAAGAGCAGAATAGTGATACCAAAATGTGTGGCTATATCAGCTAGCTAACTTAGCTACTTGTTGGACGGGCTCCGCTACATAGCTGCTGCTCACGTGTCACTGTGACAAAGCCCTAAAGTGATGACATTATTCCGCAACGCAATAAAGATTTACACAAGTCAAACCTCTCGCTGTTGTTTGCTGTGCCTACACTTGATATGTGATCGGTGACTTCAAGCTATTTCGTGGAAAAATCTCCTGAATTAAGTTTATAGCCGAGTTCCATGTGAGCTAATTTTAGCAACCCTGTAGGGTCGACCATTTAAAAAGTGCTGTCTCTTCATCCTCTAGTTATGTATTGTCCCTCTAATGTTGTGTCCAAACTATCAAACTTATGTGTTCATTAGTATCTGTCTTTGCCAACAAAATGATATCTACTGAATAAATAACGTGTCAAGAAGAAAGTTGTGACTGAACTATACACTAAATTAAAGTTAGGCGAAATAAATAGTTTGCTTAATAAGTTTGCACGGATAGTTTTTCTCAACCGTTACAACATTATTTGTTATAAAGCATCTCAGAAAATGTTTAACGCTCTGTTTTATTGCTTGTACTTGTCATGGAGATTGACTGTATGCAGGGCATGACCTTAAATTGTTCCACATTGATCAGTCAAATCACAGTACCCATGATTAAGTTCCACATTAGTTTACTTCTGTGCTCCATTATGTCACTGATGGATGCATTTAAATGAACTGCAGTTATTATATACTGTGTTTTTTTGTATCAAGTGATAATAATCCAGTCCTAGCATATGTCTTCACTACATTTTGCCTCTTCCACCAGGTTTATTTTTGGAAGTGCAAGAGGCTTGGGTTATTTTTCACACCCACATATACAAGCATCGATAGTGATGGCTCACTTGAATAGCATAGCTCTGAGAGTGTTTCACATTCATTTATCCGAGTTGTGGAAAGAGCAAAAAACACTTTTTCTGGAGGAGGATGAAGTTAATCTGTTGGGAGTGCATGGTTTCTAAAATACAGTGCTTTGCTTAGTCATATCTCAGATTTAGTTTTCATGGAAAATGGCCAGATAAAAAACTGAAGAAGACTTGACAAAATGGTGACATACTTAACACGAGCATTATAAAAAATGTTGATTGTTCGAAGCAGCATTTTATTTGAAAACGCATACTGGATATTAGGGAAAAAAATGTGTTGGTCATCTTGTAATTTATCACCTAGCAGCTTTCATTCTGGAGGACACACAAACCCAGGAATATATGGACTAGACACCTGACCATAGCCACTCTGCCACTTAATCGTGTTTTAAAATTGGAAATTGGATTTATAATGTCAAAAGGACCTGCAGAGCTCTGGATCACAGCTGGTCAATGTGAGCTTCCAGTTTTATGTGGCTATTTCATTTTAATCTCTGACATGGTGTCCACCACATGTTTGTACTGTTCTGACAGTATACAGAGTTGTTGTTTGTTGTTAAGATGACAGAGCCAATGGGATTTCTTTGTTTTGTAAACATAATTTACAAATGTTATCCATCAAGGTCCAATAGGGTAGTGCAATATCTGTTTTTATCTGCCGCTTGGCAACAATGTTTGTATGATTTTTATTTTTATTTTTTATGAAGAAGCACATGCATGCAAAACACAATGTATGCTAGACATGCCAAGTAGCTTTAAAGACATGGCTACCCTCCCAACACATTATGGTACAACACCATTAACTGTAGGTTTTTGCAAAATAATATAAAACCTACCTTCATACGGTATGAAAATAAAATAATCAATCTTGATCCTGTGTTTTAATAATTTGTTTACATCTGTTTTCAATTCTAATTCCCAGGGTCACACCCAGGTAAACTTTGTGTCCACTCTGCTGCGTGTCACCATGTCAGATCAGCTGGACTTGCCTGTCAGGCAAGCAGGTGAGTCAACATTTTTCATATAAAATAGTTCTGCAAATCTGTCTTTCTTCAGTAATTTTTAATTTGTGTTTTACGACCGCTGCATTCGTCTGCCTGTATTGTCTGTTTTATCTGTTGTAACTTTGTTCATGCTGCCAAGGCCAGGTCGCTCTTAAGAAAAGATTTTTATTTCAATGAGACTTTTTACCTGTTAAATAAGGGATATATATATATATATATAGTGGATTTTAGTCTTTAGCATATAAATAATAGTGACTGTTTAGAATCTGTATAAAAAACATCTCTTGCTTATGAACTTAAATTGTCTTTTTAATTATTGCAGTGCAAGTGTTAAGCATCTTGAAAGGTAGTTATTGTTAAAACAATATTATGACATGCAGTCTGTGCTACCTCTCTCCCTGGATCTACATGAGGTCAATAAAATGCAAATGTGACTACCACTTTATCGCCCCTCCTCCTATGTTGTCCTATTTCATTATATGACTAATAAAGTAGAAATTCTCTATTATACCAGGCAACTTATATAATGGTTTCCAAAAGATAATTTAGCAATGTTACATGATTCACTTTTGTGAAGCGAAAGTGCCATGCTGAAGAGCAGTGGACACGTGGACTTGGGTTAAATATAGCTTGTTTTGCTTCAGTCAGATGCTGTTTCTGTGAGGTAGGTGTCAGCAGAGGTTTGATCAATGTAGACATTTGAACTAAAGTTGTTGCAGAAAAGTACACAGATAGTATCTGAAATGGTATTGTGTTCACCTCCCTAAGTATTCATAGCCGTTCTCACAAATATAGCTGTGCTTTAGAGCAATAAATTACTTTTCCAGCTGTTGGAAAACGGCTGACAGTTTTTAAAAGCAGAATAGAAGAGAAGCAGCTCCTCCTGACTGCACACTACAGAAGCCGTCTAAATGATGTAAGTGAAGCTGATTATAAATGTACAATGTCTTGACTTATTGTGTTTGCACCTAGCCAATCCATGTATGTTTATAAGATTGTTCTTTATTTAGCTCTTGTCTGGTTCATGATCGTTGGCAGGTAAACATACAAAACACATTCTCCTGAATCAATTGATCTGATTGGCAGTTATTACATAACTTCAGTGAATAGATTCCTCAAAATGCATTCATCATAGTTGTTTATCAGGCAGCCCGATTGAATATCTGTATGAGTTGAATTTGTATTGGTAGCATGTGAGATATATGGTGAGTTTTTTTTTTAAGAGTTTTGCTACCAACCATATACAGAGGAGGTAATAACATTTTGTTTGTGTTGGCCAAAGCATTGGAGACTGACACTACTGTCAGACATTTTTGTTGCATTAAATGAATGTACATTGATCTCAGTTGTATTCTTGTAGTAGCTCAGACGAAACACAAGCAATAAATTCTGCGCAACTCCCAGGGTTAATTAGTCTTGTGATGTGATAAAACTGACCTTATTACATTTAAAAAGTAATGGCTTTAATATATTAAATAAAGTGATATGAGTCTATTTATCGTTTTAGATTTTGGATATCTATGCTTCATTACAGTGAACAGTTTAGCTGTTCTATTACTTTAGTCGTTTATATTCACATTACTGATGAATATTTAGAAAAAACCTCATTGTGTCCATATCTTGTGAAAGCAGCAATAGTCAACCCTACAATATTGCAGTGATAAAGAGGTATTTGGTCAATCGATGGCAATCAATGGTACCTTTTTTTTTAAAGAAAACTTCCATAATATGTTCCTGCTGGGCCTGGAGCTGCAGTTATGAAGTGAAACAACAAGATAAGTTGTTAGAGCTTTGATGTTAAAAGGAACTACCACATATAACAAACTTGACTGTTAACACACTGAAAGAAGGGATTCACCATATTGAAAATTAAATATTTATAATTGCCATTTGTTAGCTTTATTCAGGCACACATTTTTCTCCTGTACATGAATCAAATGTATACAACCAATCCGCCGTGGCTCTGCAGTGTGAGCCGATGGTGTAGTTTTGTGGACATAGACGGAGGGTACAGGGTTTTTGCTCTGTCAGCATTGATAGGCTGGATTATGATTGCCGCCTCGCCGGCGGCGTAGACATTTGTGTCAGCAGTCTGACGTCCGCCTCCCAGCCCTCACTCCTCCACTCCCTCAGATGCCTTTCCCTGTGAGCCACAGGCACCAGGGCCCCACCTTGTAGATGTGAACCCAGCTGACACTAGTGCCACATTCAAACTACAGATGGAAGAATTGACTTCCTTGGTTATAGGCTGGTAGGTGATGATGTAAATGCAGCCAATAGGACTGGTGCATATTTGGGGACTTGGGCTACTTTACAGAAGAGTTTATACCACTTGCACATCCTAGTAATCTTTCTATAGAAATAAATAGCTGAATGCTTTCAATGTTCGACATAAGTGCCAAATTTGATATAATACAATCAATAAAATGATATTTACAAATGTGTCGTTTTGAAAATGGGTCATAAAGTTGTTCAACCTTAAATGTATAGCTTTTGTACAAACAAATCAAGTGAATCTTTATTTTATTCTAAGTGAGGCTTATAGGTCATATAACTTTCTCCATGTTGTACAGCTTAATGGTTTCATACAAAAATGTAATTTGAATTTTTTAAAAACCACTTTAAGAATATTTGTCAGCATCCATGCATGTCTTACCGTTAAAAAGCGCTGACCCTGTGTTTTCTCTGTCTCTTAGGTTGATCTACCTTAAAGAACATGATAACGCAGCACTGGAGTGATGGCGACGGTTCCACAGAAGACACCGGTCAAAAACATCCCTGAAGAGGACAGGCAGTTCATTCGAGACAACATAGTGGAGGCCATCATACCACTCTCCCGAGCGCATCAGGTAACCATACACCACCCTGCTGTAGAGTGGAGTGCATGTTCATCCATGTTACCGGCTCCCATGTATACCATCCCATTAGCTGTTTTGCACTTCATATACATGTTTCTCTAACTTTGCTAAATCTCCAAATCTTGACTACTCAGGGTCCAGTTGACAACATGTATCCACCACATGATCAAGCATGACTACCCCGGCAAGTGGACTACCATCGTGGATAAGATCGGCTTCTACCTGCAGTCAGACAAACAGTGCAGGATGGCTGGGCATCTTGCTCTGCCTTTACCAGCTTGTCAAAAACTACGAGTAAGTCTTGGTTCTCGATCTTAATTTCATATCGTAACGGAAACAAATGACATGGGGCTAACGTTGTACTTGTGTGGCTAAAACAGATACAAGAAACCAGAAGAACGTCAACCTCTGGTGGCTGCCATGCACATCTTCATGCCCATGATGAAGGAACGCTTTATCCAGCTGATCCCTGACCCCTCCAGCGACTCTGTCCTCATACAGAAACAGATCTTTAAAATCCTCTACGCCCTCTTCCAGGTAACGCCACAACTCATGACATCTTTTGTTTCTGTTTTATTAACATTCACCATATTTGTAAACATTATAATTATGCTTAGTCATTGTTAAAATGGTTTTGTGTTATTCAATGGCAGTTGTTTTATTTCTTATGATCATCAAATAGCTGGTTTATAAAGTGAAACTGACTCACTCCTCTCTCCGCAGTACAACCTCCCCCTGGAACTCATCAACCGACAGAACCTGACGGAGTGGATGGAGATCCTGAAGACAGTAGTTGATAGAGATGTGCCACCGGTAAGGAGACAAAATGAATTCACACACCGCACTAATATGGCCCCTAAAAAGTCCTCATCACTTTTGGTTTCCGAGATGTAAGGTTTCAGTTCTCCACAACCTGATGTACTTTTCTTTTACTCTGCAGGAGACGATGCAGATAGAGGAGGTATGAGCGGCCTGAGCTGCCATGGTGGAAGTGTAAGAAGTGGGCCCTTCACATCTTGGCTCGGCTGTTTGAGAGGTAAAAAGCCATCAACACCCCTAACTTATTTTTCTTTTTAAATATACAACTATTTTTTTCTTCTACAATAGCATCTACTGTACCATTTTTGCAGGTATGGAAGCCCAGGCAACACAACCAAAGAGTATGCAGAGTTTGCTGAACTTTTCCTCAAGGAATATGCAGTTCCTGCTCAGCAGGTAAGAAACTTCAGAAAGTGAATGTAAACGGCAGCTCTGCAGTCAGACCGAACACTGTCTTTTGCTGCAGTGCATCCTGCTAATTAAGGACATTATTTTGGTCTATTAGGTGCTGCTGAAAGTCTTATACCAGTACAAGGAAAAGCAATACGTGGCTCCCAGAGTACTCCAACAGACGCTCAACTACATCAACCAGGGCATAGCACACGCAGTGACGTGGAGAAACCTAAAACCACACATCCAGGTACTAATACTACATTTTCAAATTGATTTAAGTAACTAAAGCTGTATAGTCATTATCCAAGTTGTTTGTTTTTCAGTAACAACATTGTGAAATAGTACTTGTTTTGATGGACTGGTTGTAACTTGTAGAAGCTTTAAAGCACTGCCTATCTTGATTGAGCCATCAGATTAAACTTAATTTGTTTTTTTCCAGGGCATCATTCAGGACGTGGTCTTCCCCCTCATGTGTTACACAGACAGTGATGAGGAACTGTGGCAGGAAGATCCATATGAGTACATCCGCATGAAGTTTGGTAAGCAGAGAAAGTCAGTACCTGTAATCTAAAAGGATTTCTGTGTATGTGTGATGACTAACCATTTACCCGATCTCCACTGTCCCCCTTAGATGTGTTTGAGGACTTTATCTCTCCAACAACAGCAGCCCAGACACTTCTGTTCACTGCTTGCAACAAAGGAAAGAGGTTAGTTGAAATGATTATTTTGTCATTTATTTCTTTGAGGCTTTGATTTTGTGGCGGTGAGACTTTTTCCATTGTTGTTATTTGTTCTTACAGATTCAGGCTCGGTCCACAGATTTGATATCTAATGAGGCCTAATTGGATCTCTTTGCTTTTTTTAGGTGCTGCAAAAGACGATGGGCTTCTGCTACCAGATTTCTAACTGATCCCGCCACTGACCCGAGGAAAAAGGACGGTGCCCTACACATGATCGGCTCTTTGGCTGAAGTCCTGCTGAAGGTAACTTCTCTCCCCCAGTGTAGAAAGGGAAGAGGTCTCCAACCTTTTTTGTGTGGGTTCCTTAGGGGATTCTCTAATTTTCTTACACCATGTTTGGCCTGATTAGCATCAGTTGGAAATGATGGTCTAGAAATTTGGCAAGATTGGATTTGTGCTTGAAGAAATGGTGAAAGCTAAGCCAATTTAGTTGTGGCTTGGCAGGCCGTTAAAAACAAGTTAAATATTTCTGGCTGTGGACCAATTATTGAAATGTTGATGCTAAGAGTTGTCACCAACCCATTTGCCAAAAATCACTTAAGATTATATTTAGAAGGTATTAGACTGGGCATTGATGATTTTTTTATTTTTTTTTATTTGGACATGTACAGGATAACGGCCCGTCCACACTACAGCTTTGACAGCTTCAAAAACGGTTTCCAACGCGTCTGCCCATTCACTTTGAATGGGGTGATGTCACATTGCCTCGCTTTTCGCCGAACTGAATTGTGGGTAGCATAGCGGTCCGTCTCCGGCGTCAGAAGTTGAACAATGTTCAACTTGACGCCGGAGTAGCCAGCGCCAGCCAATCAAATCCCGTTTCTGAAAATCTGACAGCTCAAGCCCTAGCCAATCAAACCGCGTCTAAGCTGGGAGAGATATCCCGCCGTTCATTTCTATATTTAAAAAAAAGATGGAGGAGAAACTAATTATCGCCGTAGCACCCGGTTTTGTATGACCAGACCCTCTTCACCTACCGGGATACAAACCGGAAGAACCAGTCATGGAGGGAGGTGGCAGAGACAGTGGGTGAAACTGGTAGGTTTTCGCCTGTTTGGGGAGTTTATATATATATATATATTGCTCGCATAAAATCCTCGGGTTTTTTTGCTTTGTATGTCGGGGGGCGGGAGATTCATGTGATTGGTTGTTGGTCGCGTTGCTCGAATAAAATCCCCAAGCTTCAGACATGCCCAGCTCCAAGCTTTTTTTGAAGCTGTAGTGTGGTCGGGCCGTAAGTGTTGTTCTCCGCTACCTTGTGACACGGTTTTTCTTTCTCCACACAGAAAAAGATTTATAAGGACCAGATGGAGTTCATGCTGCAGAATCACGTCTTCCCCCTGTTCCGCAGTGAGCTGGGCTACATGAGAGCAAGAGTAAGTGATCGTTTCGCAACAGGCAGTCCCAAGATATGTGTCTTTAACATTACTGAATGAGGTGGCTTTGAATTAGGACCAGCTTGTTTTACTGGCTTAGTGCTTTGCGTTTGTTTATCTTATATACAGTATAAAATGGTTTCTGCCACATTTTCTCAACCTCTGTTTTCACACAGGCCTGCTGGGTGCTGCATTACTTCTGCGAGGTGAAGTTCAAAAGTGACCAGAACCTGCAGACGGCTCTTGAGCTGACTCGCCTTTGTCTCATCAATGACAACGAGATGCCAGTCAAGGTGGAGGCTGCTATTGCCCTGCAGGTTCTCATCAGCAACCAGGAGAAAGGTGAGCAAGTGAAGTCATGCCCCTAACGTTTACTTGACTGCACTCTATATTCATATTTTCTTCAGGAATGTTATTAACTGGTTTTCTTTGAGTGTCTGAACTTAAGAAAGACCTTTTTTTCTTTTTTAGCCAAAGAATACATCTCCCCCTTCATTCGGCCAGTGATGCAGGCGCTCCTGCACATCGTCAGGGAGACGGAGAATGACGACCTCACAAATGTAATTCAGAAGATGATCTGTGAATACAGCGAGGAGGTGACTCCAATTGCAGTGGAGATGACGCAGCACTTGGTAAGTGATATCAGTTAAAAAGCTACATGTTGATGTCGTCATTTCACTGAGTGGTTCAATAAACTCCCCCTATGGCTTCGAGGAGTGAGGAGAGGCTGCCGTACCAAGAAGAAAACCAAATATCGCAAATGATTCATACTACTTACAAGGAAAACTGAATTCATTCAGGTTTGAGCACAGCCACCCTCATTAACCCAAATAATCAGATCATATCAATGTTAAGGAACCAAGTTTATAGTTGTCTCGTTCTCTCACCTCATTATTAATGGTGCCAAGCTCAATGCATTGTGATGTCACATGCAATCCTGTGTAATGCTTTTAAGAAAAAGCTCTGATTAAAGTAAGTGTGTCCTGTTCTTTTCATTTAAGGTTATGAAGATAGGAATCACTTGGACTTCCTGCCTTATAGTGAAATGTATAGATACTAATATTCCACAGACACACTCATAATAACAGTCTCTTTGTTTGCGCTTTGTCAGGCTATGACGTTCAACCAGGTGATTCAGACGGGCCCTGATGAGGAGGGAGGAGATGACAAGGCAGTGACGGCCATGGGCATCCTCAACACCATTGACACATTGCTAAGTGTGGTGGAGGACCACAAAGAGGTTAGCAGCAAAGCCCCGAAGCACACTGCCCACACACAGTCCAGGCTCATCACTCATCTGAGAGCCACTTCCTCTGCACAAGCAGATTGGGTCGGCTGTAGCTTTCCTGCCAACACACTTTAGCCGCCCACCAACTCCTGGGAACACACTGTGTTCTCACCGTGTTCAAAATGACTCGGAGGCTGAGGAAGCGGCTAGAAATAGTGCCAGGGCACTTTGCCACCATGTCTGCTGAAACATGGGACTGCCAGTGCTTAAAGCCAAGGAGCCATTGGATTTGAATAAGCATTGCGGCGTACTGACATTTTTTGGATTTCATCACAGTTCAGGTTTCACTGATCCTGTTTACCTTGATGCCAAAAATAAGAATGAGTTTTTGACAAATCAATATACATGGCAACTTAACCGGTTCACTTGACGCATTAAACATTACAGGACTGAACACCAGATAATGTTAATGATGAAGAGTCTCCTATCCTTGTTGATTTCATCCCAAAAAAGTGTACTCATTCACAAAGGTTATAGGTTGTTCCTTACTTTAGACCAGGGGTGCCCAACCTTTTTTGAACCGAAATAATCGATTTGATCATGGTCAGTTTCTGGCAACCCTAGTAGCAAGAGTAGTTGAACATTCCTATAATGAGTCTAAATATGGATGCACATTTAAAGCAATTTCTTTAACCCATAATCGCTGTTATGATTTGTACACGATGTTTCGCTTCAAGGGTCATTACAGGACTTAAAACATATTGGGTTAGGTTATTATGTCCAGGGTTCGTACGGGTGCTTGAAATCCTTGAAAATGCTTGAAATTTGATGTGGTGTTTTCAAGGTTGGGAAAATGCTTGAAATTGAGATAAAGTGCTTGAAAATGTAAATGCTTTACTTTTACAATAAATTGCTGTCTGACTGAATAGTTCGCTTTTTAGATTAAAAGAAAATAATTGCTTCGCTTCTACATAAAACATCTCCGCTCCGACCTTCCCGCGCTATGCCCGCGACCTGCAAGTGTTTGTGTTACGTGTGACCTGGGCATTCTGATGAGTGATAGATGACTGTGTGCCAGGAGGTTGCAGTTTCAACGAGCGTTGGCTAGCAGAAGACAAATACAAGCCATGGCTAAGACGAGGGTCAAGCCCACGAGTAGCCTCCTGCACAGTTTGCAAACATAACGATGCGAGAGTCTGCGCTGACGAGCCACATGAAAGGTACGCCGTAGTAGAGCCAGTCTCACAGCATTTCGTGTTATAGTCACGAAATATAATCTATTGATTCGACACAGAGCGATTTTGAAAGCAATGTATTTCTACTGGTAGTATGTTTCGTGCCTAAACCAAATGTGACTTGCTCTATCGAAATCAGTCACATTTGTGTACCGGGGAAACACTTACAAGAAACACCGGCGGCTGTTATGCTTGCTGTGATGTTACATTAGTCCGTTCTCTGCTTGTAAAAAAGTTGTATTTATCATCTGAATTTGCCGAAACAAGTTTAATATTCTGAAAGCCAATAACTTTGTTTATTTGAAAACAGATGAAAACAAACTGTCTTTTATATAAAATTGAAGTATTATACAAGTAAAACTACATTTTGCTTTAATCCCATGTAATTGTAGAATGAACACAGTCTTCCTTTGAAGATGTATAAGTCGGGTGTCTTGAGTAGTCAAAATTACCTACAAATCATTGTACACATTTGTAAATATTATTTTCCACTTGTTACCATTGTGAGTTTATTTTTATGCAGCTCTGCGTGATTTTGTGGCTACAATTCAGACTAATACGCTACCAGAGGTGGAATAAGTACGCAGATATTGTACTTGAGTAAAAGTAGAAGTACTCAGAGCTTGTACTTGAGTAAAAGTAGAAGTACTCAGATCTTGTACTTGAGTAAAAGTAGAAGTGCTCAGAGCTTGTACTTGAGTAAAAGTAGAAGTACTCAGAGCTTGTACTTGAGTAAAAGTAGAAGTACTCAGAGCTTGTACTTGAGTAAAAGTAGAAGTACTCAGATCTTGTACTTGAGTAAAAGTAGAAGTCCTCAGATCTTGTACTTGAGTAAAAGTAGAAGTACTCAGATCTTGTACTTGAGTAAAAGTAGAAGTGCTCAGAGCTTGTACTTGAGTAAAAGTAGAAGTACTCAGAGCTTGTACTTGAGTAAAAGTAGAAGTACTCAGAGCTTGTACTTGAGTAAAAGTAGAAGTACTCAGAGCTTGTACTTGAGTAAAAGTAGAAGTACTCAGATCTTGTACTTCAGTAAAAGTACCAGAGTGTAGGAATACTCTGTTACAGTAAAAGTCCTGCATTCAAAATGTTCCTCAAGTAAAAGTAGAATTATATTTCACATCATTCATCCACATCTGTAAAGAAACTAAAGGTATTAAATACATGTAGTGGTGGAAAAGTACACAATTTACCTCTGGTTTACTGCCAACCTAAAAGTAACTCAAAAATAGTAATCAATAATGTATTGAAAAGTTATTTGGCTGATTGTTTTATATCGGCTCAGCCAGGTTATATGGGAGACCCAGTCTACGTACAGGTCACTCCTTTTGAAATATTAAACTTAGTTTTCTTCTTTAATTTTTCATTCTCGTGTAAAATGCTATCACGAAACACACATTTGGTTGTTTATAGCATAAAGAACATCTGATTTAATGTGAGGTAGGGAAATAATCATTTGAGTATGTGTATATAAATATGTAATTTACAACAGCTGTAAGATGCTTGAAAATGCACCTTGAAAGTGCTTGAATTTGACTTTGGAAAAGGTGTAAGAACCCTGTATGTCATAATACTAAATATTATTTCACTCAATGCCTTGTATCTACATCTGATTATTTGTACAATAAGGACCATGCTGTCGAGATAAAATAATACACAGCTTTGATCACAGCAGCTTTATCTTTAATTCCTCAGATCACCCAGCAGCTGGAAGGCATCTGTCTGCAGGTGATCGGCACTGTGCTGCAGCAACATGTACTGGGTAAGCCGGTCCTTTCTGTTCCACCACATTACACCTGCAGGTTGCACTTAACCACTATCTGTCTGTCTGCCTGACATATTATCCTTTGATAATAAACAGACTATGTTTTACCTCCAGACTAACTTTTCTTTCTTTTCTTTCAGAGTTTTACGAAGAGATCCTTTCCCTGGCTCACAGCCTGACCTGCCAGCAGGTGTCAGCACAGATGTGGCAGCTCCTTCCACTGGTGTATGAAGTCTTCCAGCAAGATGGATTTGACTACTTCACAGGTGTGTGTTTGGCTAAAGAATGGAGCTTGCATTCACATAGGTTGCTTTCAAACTGTGTTAAACTCTGTGTGAAAAGTAAATATGTTTTGTTTTAGATATGATGCCACTTCTTCACAACTATGTCACAGTGGACACAGACACACTCCTATCTGACACCAAATACCTGGAGATCATCTATGCAATGTGCAAGAAGGTAAAACGTCAGAAATGATTATGCATAATGTAACAGACAGCACTTCCAAACTATTTGTGATGGTTAGTGGGTTAGAAGATTGAACAGAGCCTGTCACTCACACAGGTCCTGACAGGCGATCCCGGCGAGGACCCAGAGTGCCATGCAGCCAAGCTGCTGGAGGTGATCATTCTGCAGTGCAAAGGTCGTGGCATTGACCAGGTCAGTATCCAACAATTCAAACTGTAGACACTCTTGATATTTAATCGATTGATTCTAATGTCTGTTAGGGCTGCAAACAATCGATTAATCGTTAGATTAATCGACTATTCGGACTATTATGTCTTGCACAATTTCTCTTATTTAGCCATCAACTTTTAGATTTAGCTTGAGATTGTTTTAGGCATGTGGAAACTAACAATGAAGACAATAAAGATGAATACTTGATTCAAAATAAATATATTATGAAATTAACTAAACACATTTTGAACAAAATGTAACATTGCTTTTTATTTAAATTAAATAAATAATATTTCACATCAAAAGAAACAACAGTGTTTTAACAAATCGTATTAAATAATGTGATGACAGAACTGTAAACAGAATAGCTGAAACTTTAACAAAATAAATAACTCAGTTACCTCTAATCAGTAACCCATGTTTGTATAATGTAGTTAACTCCGTGTGTTGCTGCTAGCATACATAACACCTGACGTGGAAAAGTTACTCGTGGATGGGGCTACAGAGCTGCTAGAAAGACGGTCGAATGTGGAGCACTTTTGCTAAATGTTTAGACAAATTGCTCGTGTTACCGCCCTTACATGCTAAACTCTTATTGCACTTTTGGCAACGAGCATTCTCCACATCGAGACGGGTAACATTAACCACACCTTGGAGCGCTTCTCTCCGTCATCCTCCTCCGTGTGTTGCTGCATGTAGCAGCTGCGTGTGTGTAAACTGCCCCGCCCCCTCGAACACAGACGGGAGAGAGAGATCTCGTCTGATCGAAAATACATCATAGATGCATTTATTTGTCTTTTTGCATATTAGAAACGAGAAGGCAACAAAAACACTGCGATATAATGTTTTTGTAGCAACAATACATGACACATATGTTTTTAAATGTCTCCAGTACCGATAAAAAGATCAATAACGTTGGAGTTTAACGGCGCGTAAAACACACGTGATGACGTCACCAACGAATCGACGACTGAATTAGTTGGCAACTAATTTGGTAATCGATTAAGTCGATTAGTTGTTGCACCCTAATGTCTAGTAATATAGGTAAACGAACAGTATTGCTTTATTGAAGGTGATCTGTTGTTGCAGGTTGTTCCGTTGTTTGTGGCTGTCTGCATTGGAGCGTTTGACGCGGGAGGTGAAGACCAGCGAGCTGAGGACCAATGTGTCTGCAGGTGGCCATCGCTGACTTTACTACAGCCCCCCGCTTCTGCTCAACACTCTGGAGAAACCTGCGCTTTCCTAACAACACTGAGCCCATCACAAACCCACTTTATCACACAATGGCTCAAAGATGTCGACTGCTTCCTTGGGTAAGAGGTTTAAGAAATTCTAAATTAGCACCATGGAACTTTGGGCAATTAGACGGTTTATTCTGTGTGACAGAAAAATGTCATACCTGTCAAGTGTTTGTATTATGGCTGCAAGTTTCAATCTTTTAATGGGAGATCTTAAATACGAGTGATACTTTAAACCATCAGCTAAACAAACACGTAGTGAATTCATTAAGTTGATCAATCAACAAGTAACAATAATTTCGGAACAGCTCTGAGAAATCCTATTGACTTTTTGTTACCTGCTTTCCCCTCGCAGCCTTCACGACAGGAAGATGTGTATTCTTGGAATCTGTGCTCTCATTGACCTCGAGCACAGGCCTCAGGTTGTGAACCAGGCGCCGTCCAGCTGATTCCAGCAGCCATTCTTCTGTTCAACGGCCTCAAGAGGGCGTACGCCTGTCGAGCAGAGCATGAGAATGACGAGGATGATGATGATGAAGATGGGTGAAGAAGATGAATGATAACGGTAAGGCATCAGTGTTTGACATTGTTCCCACATGTGAAAGTTTTGCATACGTTGTGGTGAAAATAATCCAGGTCTTCAAAGTTTTTGTAAATGACAAGGGTCTTGAAATGGGGCTTAAATGTTATTTGATAGACCTTGAGGATCTGTGAGATTTCTTTTTTATACTTGGCCTTCATAAAGAGCCTTCCTTTTGCATCAGTGATGCCTCGTAGTTGCCTCATATTCATAGTTTGGAATTACGCCTACGAGGTTTCTGCAAAGTTTCTCATTTTTAAAACACTCTAACATTTGTTAACCCTTAATCTGGGTTGGGTCCTTGAATTTGAAATGATACTAATTTAATTTGTGAAGTATGATGTATTCAGTGTGTGCATCATTCAAGATCACCATTACTATGTCAGATGATTTAGTGATGCTGAACCGTGTTCCCTTACATTTTCTCATTGAATACAGCTGAGTTGGGCAGTGACGAGGATGACATTGATGAGGAAGGCGCAGAGTACCTGGAGATGCTGGCGAAGCAGGCGGGAGAGGACGGAGGACGATGATGACTGGGATGAGGACGATGCGGAGGAGACGGCACTTGAGGGCTACACTACATCTGTAGATGATGAAGACAATTTAGTGGACGAGTAATCAGATCTTCAAAGCCATACTACAAAGTAAGAAAACAACCTGTTGTGTTAATCACTTGCAAAGCAATAAGAAATTGTTGAGTGAAAACCAATAATTGATCTTTGTTATCTGTGATTCAGATATCCAGAGCCGTGACCCAACATGGTACCAGGCACTAACACAGGGCCTCGACGAAGATCAGGGCAAACACCTTCAGGACATTGGCACACTTGCAGACCAGAGACGGGCAGCACATGGTGAGCGCCTGCTGAGACTGCAAAGCAATATCCCAATTAAACTCTGATGCGGCACTTCTGACAATAAAGCAACTTTGTTTTTACATGCTCTTATTTCCTGCTTTTTGTTATTGATTTTTGTTGTGTTTTTCAGTCCATGTCGTCTCCACATTTAAATGTATAAAAGTATTCATAGCTCTTCCCCATTAAACTACAATCTAGCACGTTGCAACTAACTGCCTTTGTGCCTTTTTAATTTACGAAAGAAACATGAGTCTGGGATGATTGAATAAAAATACATATTTTTCCACTGGAATTAAATGTGTGGTGTTAGCTCAGTCGTAAAACACAATGCACTGTGAAGCAACATCAGAGACTTGGCACTTCTGCACAGCGGTGCCAACCTGCTTCCTTGATACCAGCTCATCCAGAAGCCTCCTTGCCTCTTTGTATCCTTGAGATGCATTCAGGGGATTGGAAGTGGAGGGGGAAGGATTTGGGTCATGGCAGGATTCAAGCGTAAAGCATTAGTCGGTGGTATATAAAAAAAAAAACACTCTCAAATGCACGGTAAATGTTAAATAATACTTCTAGAATCACGTTAACTGCCTTTCTATGGTCTACCATCAGCTGTGTACTATAGGGCAGCACTTACTTTCAGGAAACAACTTTTTTTATTTTCCTCACGTTTGTAATTTTGATGCACTTTGCTTATTATATTACAGAATCCAAGATGATCGACGAAACACGGCGGATACAAGTTCACAGCGCCAGTGGTGCCATCTACTTCAACTTTGGAGGCACTGCCTCCAGGAATGAATTGAATCCTCCGTTCTACTTTTTATTACCTGTGTACTGATTGTAGTGAAGTGAAAAAAGCTTGTGTTGTTCCCTTAAGTAGTGGTTCCAGAACTGGTTTCTTCTCAAGTTCATTCTTCAATCTGTCAAATGGGAAATTGTACCAGAAGATGTGGGAGAAAGCAACTAAAATGCGACCAATGCTGGGGGAAAACAAACCCAAGAACTTGAGCACGATGCAAGAGAAGAAGCTCTGAACAACGTTGTCTTCTGGAGACCCTAGTGTGGAGGGGATACCATGATGGCAACTCTTTCGTTTTTTTTTCCACTTAAATAAAATTGGGGGATTAACAGTTAGGAAATTGATAATGAGACTTAATATTTCATTATCACTGTTGTGGCCAAACGGCCGTAATAAAGATTATACCTCTGGTAGTGGTGATATCTACGTTATTTTCTGCATAAACACTCATGTTTATGGTACATACAAGCCAAGGTTATTGATTTTTCAAGTATCCTTGGAAACGACCAGAGCATTTGTAAGGTGTAAACAGTTGTATTTCATATGTAGCATATTGGATACTTCATAGCACTATGTGATGCCTGATCTCTGTAAATTAATGACTAGCACTTTCATATTGTTCAGGTCTCCTAGCCTTCTGTATCAGACTGCAATTTTTTAAATTGAAGACTATTTAAAAGGCAAACGGCTGTAACTTTGTTACTTTGCAAGCGACTTCTGTAATGGCTGGTTGTTACGGAGTGGATCAGTGGGCAACTCAGAAACTTAATGATTTCAGGAAAAAAGAGAATGCTCTTGGTGTTCAGTATGGCTACAGGACTTGTGTTTGTGAGCACTGAAGAACAATTGAATACATCATTGAGCATGTACAATTGGACTTATCGTGAAGGTCTCAAGCTTTTGGTTGGGTGTATGGATAAACCATCTATATATACAACAACATATTAAAAAAAAAAAAAAAAGTTAAGGGAGTCATTGACGGAGTGTTTCCTTCTACAGGGAGCTGTGATTTCCTGATTTATGAATATGTTTTCTAAGAAATTGGTTACGTGAATGCTTTCTTCCAGGTAACTTTACATTTGCACATCGCTGTCTATTCAC